CCTCTGTCTCAATTCCATTCTGTGAATAGGGGTCATAATAGGTTGTCAGGAAGGCTGGCATGAAGCCAGGGCATCATAAGGCACAAAGAAGCCTTTGTGTGAAGGGTCTTCAGGGCACCGAGGCACTGGGCCTTTGGCAGCTCCTGCAGGCTTGCTTCCTGCCAGTCCCTGGAGAGGGCAATTATCCCAAAGGGCGGGCTGCTTAGTCAGACTGCTGTTCAAGACCAGGAGCCCGGGTGGGCGGGCGGGCGGCGGTGTCATCCATCCCACTCATCATCCCAACTTCTCTGCCAGGCTGATGGCTGACGCTGCTGCTTTGGCTAAGGTGACGAAGAGGAGAGAACTGGCAGGGGACAGGAGCGGACAGTGTCACAGCCCATCCCCCTGGCCAGGCTCTGAGACCAACAATAGGATTCCACGTCTCATTCACCAGGACCTCAAGGAACGTGGGCCCTTGGACGGAGGTTCGGCTCAGCACCAGCAGAAGCTGGCTTGTGGGCCCAAAGTCAGCGGGCCGGGAGACAGGGCAGACGAGGGCACTGCCAGGGCCGCCAGGCAGCCACACCCCCTCTCTGAGATGTAATTTCCTCACCTAAAAGAAACAGGAGTATGATGTCCGGTGTCCCCTCCAGCTCTGAGGGGAGAATTGGTTTCCAGAGCCTGCCTCTCGTCAGTTACACGCGAGGCCCTCGCTCAGGCCGTCCACCCCCTCGGACAGCCTGGCTGACTCACATCTCCCCCGCGCTCTAGCTCAGTGAAGTCTCCATCTCTTCAAAAGACACTTGATTTCTAAAAAGGCAGAGGAAGCTCCAACTTTGATCACCAACAGCCATCTCCAAGTCTTGGCAGACAAAGCCGAAACAGTGCCCACGGGGTTGGAAGGGGGTAAAGGACAAGATAGCAGACAGGAAGAAGGGGAGCACCTCAGGGTGGGGGGAGGTCCCCCTGGGGTTAAACCTGCTGTTGTGCTTGGTGGGGAGGGTCTGATAAGCACCTGACACTGCTCAGAGGTGGTGTCTGGCCGAAGGGTCATTCATGGAGAACTTCTGCACCATTTGAGGAGGGCTGCACCCAACTCGCCCTCAGCCCAGTGACCTGGTCAGGGTGCTCCAGGGCAGCTAGCGTTGTCATAGGAATAGCCTGGCTTCTGCCTCCCAGAGGGGTAGGGCTGTGGTGAGAAATTAGCTCTCCCTGGCCTCTACCCTTCACCCACTGTCCCCCACCCCCACCCCCCAAGGCTGCTGCAGAGTTTGCAGGGGGAGGAGAAGAGGGCAGAGGGCTGAAAGAAGGGGAAGCTCCTTAAAAGAATGCTTGGGATTCTGAACCAACTTTGTCGAAGCCAGTGGTGATGTGTCTTCTGGAGGGGTTAGAGGAAGGGCCAGTGGACTTTTCCCAGATGGAGGCGAGCCAGGATCACAAACAAGGCCAGCCCCTGGTCTCAGGAATTGGACTTCGTGGTTGAAGGAGAAACGACGCAAAGGCTGATCCTACACTGCTCTGAATCTGCCTCTATTACTTACAAAGAGCCCTGTGGCACGGTTATTCAGCACGTGAATGCTAAATGAAAGGCTGGCGGGGAGAAAAGCCCATGAAGACGGCTTCCATTGTTTTTGTCGTTGTTAGGTGTCTTTGAGTCGATTACAACTCATAGGGACCCCATAAGCAACTGGACTAGAACCTTGCCCAATCCTGTGCCATCATCATATCTCCATCATTGACAGTCACTGTGTCAAATGGTGAGGTGACAGCTCCAACACCCTGTGGGGCAGCCCCACCCCGTCATACTGGGTCACGACCAATCAGAACCCACTCGAAGTCATACCCCACCACCACCTCTTTCACTAGCTGCACGGCCTCGGGTCAGCGACTCTCCTTGCCTCAGTTTCCTCATCTGCTCAATAGGTATAATGAAGACACCTGACTTCAAAAGTGATATGCACAAAAAGCACCCAGAACATGGCCCAGAACATGGCCTGCCTGCTTCGTAGTAAACTCTCTTAAGAATTGATACGGGAAGACTCAACTTCCTTCCCATCTTCTTTTCCCTGAACCAAGACAGCTAAGTAGCAAGATGGCGTGTAAAGCATGTAGATGCAGGAGGAGTGGGGAAAAGAGAGAGGACAAAGGTCACCCTGAGTCTGGAGGAGGATGCCCTTTGGTGGCCTCTATGTGCCCAGGTCCCCTGGAAGGGATGTGTGGTCAGTGTTGCTGAATGCATGGCTGAGAAGCAGGGTGCAGGGACAGCAGTCAGCACTTCAGGCCCCCGCCTGGCCCTGCGTCTTGGGGCTGTGTGTCCCGGGTCACTTATACACCCTCGCTGAGCCCTCTTTCCTGGGCTGAGCGTCCTGAAATCCTCTCTGGACACTCATTCTCTCATCTTACCTGGAACCCTTCTCAGCCAGTCTCCCCTCTCTCTATCATCCCTCATTTCCACCTCACCCTAGTTACACCGGCCTCCAGGCCTCCTCTTTCTCTCATCTACCCACACAACTCAGTCCCTCACTTCCCTTCAGATGTAGCTCAAAAGCGGCCTCAAGGACGCCTCCCTAACCAACATTTAAAAACGGCACTGCCACCATCCACCTCATCGCCCAATAGATGATATAATCTGCCGGCATTTTTATCAGTTGCTCATCTCCTCTTTCCACAAAGGGAAAAATTTCTATTTTGTCCACAGCTCTTTCCCCAGTGCCGGGAATGTTATCTGGCACTTTGCTCAGCAAGCCATGCTGGGCGCCCTCACATTTTGGCCAATCAGTGGAAGGAAGTTACAGACAGCCCTGGGCTGTATGGGTATCTAAGGCTACTGTTAATCCCATCCCATCTCACCTCCTCTCCCCAGCAGGGGCAGGCCCTGTTTTGTTTTGTTTTTTTCTACTAGAAGTGCTGGGTGGCTTCTAGTCAACTTTTGACTCCTGGGGACTCAGTGTGACAGAGTAGGATGGCCTCACTGGGTTTCCCAAGCTGTCATCTTGACGGGGAGAAGATATCCAGGCTTAGCTTCAGAAGAATGACTGGTTAGCTTAACCCTCCCGCTGCCAGAGCGACGTCAGCAGAGGCAAGCCTGGTCACAAAGTCAGGGGAGGGGCAGCGAGGGGGGAAGGGGCTGTTTGGAAGCAGCAGGATGCTGTTGGGATCGGACTAGAGCAAGGACACCAGCAGGTGGTGACAGTGGACCTCCGCCAAGGGGCTTGGCTCATAACTGTCCACTCCTCATTTGGCAATATTGGTGAAGCAATTAACAGGTGAGCCGGGATGGCCGGCTTCCAGCATACCGAGGCCGGAAGGGGCGTCCGGGGCTGGTGGCCCATTTTGTGTGTGGGGACAACAGGGCTCAAGAACTTGCTGTGTCTTATTTACAAACTCCCTTCTGTTTGCTCCCAGCAGTATCTGAGAGCAGGGATGCTGCTAACGGGGTGGACAGCGCCCCCTCCTGTCACTTCAACAAAACACCCCCGTGTCCCAGGGATCTGCGGGTATGAGAGTGGGGACAGGAGCACAGTGGCCGCTCTCTCGCCCCAGACCACCAAGAATGGAGGTCCAAGGAGTGGCGCCTTTGGGGTGAGCACCCCTGCTGCTGCCCTGGACCTCCGCTCCCGCACGCTAGCCCCACCAGGAAAAGTTTGTCTAGATGAAACCAACAAGGAAGTGAGTGGCAGTGAGGTGAACTTGGTAAAGCGAACTTGGCCTTGGACTCTGGGCTTCAGTGACGCCTGGGGCTACTCAGCCTCCACCCCCTCCTCTTTCTCGCGGAGAACCCACTCGCTTCGCATGTTGTGGGGCGGTGGCTGCAGACTGACACTAGGGGCAGAGAGGGAACCCCGAAAAGTGCCAGGTCCAGAGGGGTGCGCTGGGGTGGGCAGTTAGCTGAGTAAATCCTAGGGCAGGTGCCGGCTGCACACTCCCGGATGGGTGGGCCATTCTGCCCAAAGCTGGAGGAACGCTAGCCCTTCCTACACCAGGCCAGCGATCCCACATTGCCCCCTTTTTAGGCATAAATATCGGAAAATGGGGGGAGTCTCTCTCTACTGTGTTCCATTCTTCCCCATCCCACCACCACCCCACCAGTTCGGGGCTCGAGAGCGGCCACCATCTCCGAGGGCTACTTCCCAGCCTGAAAGCAGGGAGTCTCGCCCTGCCTTGCCCCTCCCCCTCGCCAATCTGTTTCTTATCTTCGTCTCCAAACACTTTACCACTTTGAGACCCGGGACTAAAAAGCTAGGGTCCCAGGACAGAGAGCTCCGGGTTGTTATACACCTACGATTCTCCGCTTCCACAGCCCCAGGAACTAGGGGGTTCGAGTCAGACTTGGAGACAACGGGAACTCCGCCACCTCTTCTCGAGGCCCCGCGCAGCGAGGTGGGAGGACTCACAAGTTTGCACCGCGCACGCCTAGGACCTGGGCTCAACGGAAGGGGGGTTGGGGGGGGACCCGGGCACAATGGAAGCAAGAAGGGACAAGGAACAGAGAGGACAGACAAAGCGATCCCCAAGGAAGGAGAAATTGCTTTGTGCTATTTCTCTTTAGCTCCGAAGCAGAAACCAAGCCCGAGAAGAGGAGACCTAGGGTGAAATCAACAATACAAGTGGGAGGCGGCGGAGGAGTGACGGAGAAGAGAGGGAAACCGAGTCAGGCGGAAAGAAAGGCTGTGCCGCGGGACGCCGGATCTCCGCGAATCCGCGGGCCCCCAGGGGTCCCAAGGCGCCCGGCAGGCGCACACGGGGTCCCCGCCACCCTCTCCCCCACAATCCCAGCGGCCGCAGGAAGCCCGCCGGGCTGCACTGCGCAGGCACCGGCCGGGCAGTGGAGGAGAAAGTGCGGGGCTCGGGAGCGGCAGCAGGAGCAGAACTTACGTGCTTAGTGCATGGTGGCGCTGGCGCTGCCCGGGGCTGGCGGGCTGAGCGGACAGCTGGTTCGGGCGCCTCGCATCGCTGGGCAGGGCTGGGCTGGGCAGGGCCGGGCTGGTCTGCGCGCGGCGCCCTGCGCGGCCGGGGTGTACCCGAGTCTGGTGGCCCGCGCAGGTCCCTCCTCTCAGTGCCGCGCACAAGCCAATGGCGCGCCGTCCCCTCCCACGCGCTCGGCTGCCTCGCCCCCGAGGGTGGCCGCCGGGACAGGCGGGAGAGAGCGCTTGGGGTGCGAAGGGGGGTATATCGGGTTTCCGGGCTCCCCGGCCCAGGCAATCCTGGAGACTGCCTACCGAGGGCGCACTCACGCCCAAGGCAAGGCGCCTGGGCTCAAAAAATAAAGAGGCGGGGAGAACTCTGCACGCCTGGGCTACCCGAGAAGACTTTCTGGGCGAATTCGAAGATAACCTCTCCCTTCCTTGACTGTCAGCGCCCCCACAGGCTGGCAACCTCATTCTTGAATAACCCTGCAGTATCTTAGGGCCAGTATCTGGAATGGAAGACACTTGCTTCAGCCGGTAGTGATCCCCAAATGTAACAGAGTTTTCAGTTGTGACCCTTTTGTCTAGTGCAGGCGCGATACCAGAAGCTTGGGCTAAGCGAGTTACAGGTATTAACAACGAACTCGCCTAACTCATAATCATGTATGAGGTCGGTATGATCAAAGGCTAAGGCGTGCCTGCTCCAAGTCAGTACTTTCAATTGCTGTTTTTTTCACGTAGAAGTTGAACAATGTCTAAGGAAGACCAAGGAATTGAAGGTTTTGAATGGTAGAGCTGGCGAAGAGTATTGAATATAACATGGACTGCCCAAGAACAAACAAATCTGTCTTGGAAGAAATACAGCCAAAATGCTCCTTAGAAGCAAGAATGTACTTCGGGTAGGTTGAGGGGGGAGGGGTCAGTGAAAGCGAGAAAGATGGATTAATACAGTGACTGCAATAGGGGCCTCTGAGTGGGTCATTAAGGCTCTATTTCATTAGCCTGTGTTCAGTCTCAGGCCCACCTTCTTGATCTCTAATTGGTGTTATTTTGCCAAATAACATAATCCCTTTTCCCTTTGACAAGACCACTTCCACCCTAAAAATCTGGCCTCTGTGGCTGTGCTATAAATTGCACTGTTCTTGGACTGATATTACCTGGGGCTTTTAGAACACCTGGGAGGGGTATTGGGGGGGGGGCGCAACTGACAGACCTTTTCTCTCTCCCTATCCATGGGCAGTGGTAAAGGGATTGCGGCTTCTGGAGGCTTCTTGGGAGCTGGCCAGGTTGAAGGTGGTGTCAGAAGACTAAGACTCCTACAAATAATACTTCCCTTGACCATTTCAGGGCTCATTACCATGCCCCTGTGACCAGTGACAGGGCTGCTTATCCACAAAGCCACAGATTCCTTGACCACAAAACCGCCACCCACACCCTCCCTGCAAAAAATGCTTTCTCTTCATCTCCTTGATGGTCACACTGGTGAGGAGCGGTGGCTAGTGTACAAGGCAAGATGCAGGCACTATTCCACAAGGTAAGTAAACAGAACAGAAAGAGGTAACATCCAAGCAAGTGGCCGCTTTGTTGACATCTGAGAGCTCTTTCCACCCGTTCAACAAGGGTTTATCAAGCAGGCTCTTCACCAGGGGATTTGCTTTCAAACTTAGGTACCGTGTGTGCATTTAAGGACTGCAGCCTTGAACTCCTAGCATGTTTCCACATCTACACAATTGGCCCATCAGCAGTATGAACTGCCCATGATTATTGCTGAGATTTTGCATTCATTGTTGTGTTGTTTTATGCCATCGAGTGGTAAACGACTCAGAGCTGACCCTCCTATGGGTTTTCAGAAGCAGGGCCAGTTTTCAGGTGGCAAGGGAGGAGACTGCCCCTCCTTCTCCTCTGGAGCACCTGACAGATTAGAACCACAGCAGCTAATTCTTACTGAGTGTTGATTATGTGCCAGGTGCTAGCATGCAAAGCAGATGCACCCCCATCCTCTAATGTACATTATTTTTTAATTTTAATTGTTATTTTAATGGAAATTTACAGAGAAGTTGGATTTTCATTGTTGGCACATTTTCTTCCCTTCCCCCTCCCCCAGTTCGCTTTCTTTTTTTTTTTTTTATATTCATTCATTGTTGCACAATTTCCTTCCTCTCCTTCCCTTAGCCCTCCCCCAGTCCTCTTTGCAATGCACCTCTTATTCTAGACTGTTGTCATACATATAAAGCCTAATCATATGTTATTCCTTTTGAATGTTTCTTTCCTTCATTTGTTCCAAAGCTGTGTTCATTATCTATCCACTCTTTTCCTAGTGGGAACTTTCAGTACAATGCCTAGGACTGAGTAGGCGCCCAGTGACCGAGCTGTCCTGATTACCACACTGGCTCAGATCTGACCAGCAGCCACCATCGTTGCGTCCACAAGCACCCGGCCAGTGATAGCAAAGATGGATGGGTGGGTGGATGGATGGAAGGAAGGGAGGGAAGCATGGATAGATGGATGGATGGATGGGTGGATGGACAGAAGGATGGAAGAAAGGGAGGGAGGGAGTCCTCAGATCAGGTTCCTAGGTGTGTTGAAGGAAGCACGGACCCAGAATCCTCCCTGACTCTGGCCGTTACAGACCAGGCACCCCTTAGAGATATTGCAGGTTCTGCTCCAGACCACTGCAATAAAGCAAGTATCAGAATAATGTGAGCTGCGTGCTTTATATTTTGGTTTCCCGGTGCAAATGAAAGTTATGTTTACACTTTTACTACGGTCCATTGAGTGTGCAGGATGCACTGGTGGCATAGAGGCCACAGCGAGGTGTGCAGTTAAGCCCAAGGCTTCACTTCTCACATGGTTCACATTCACCAGCGGTTCTAAGATGGGCAGTCTTCTCCTGTGCAGCTTCAGAGACCTATGGAGGGTTTCTAAGTGTTGGAGTCTTTTGAGATTGAGCCTGCAATGGTCTGATGAAATGTTGATGAATATGATGAAGTGTCCGAAATACTGTGAGAATGAAATTATAACACAGAGTCAGGAAGTGAACACACTCGGCTGGGGAAATGGAGCCGATAGGCTTATTGGTAGCAAAGGCGCCGTAAACCTTCCATTTGTGGGAAATGCAATATCCACAAGGCACAATAAAGCGAGGTGCGATACAGGCTACACTCGTCTTTATGACAGCTCAAGGCTAGCTTACCACCTCACCAGAGTCACACAGGAATGATTAGGTCAGCTCTTCCCCCGTCCCCTTCTGCTGTCCCAGCATGGAGGTGTCACCTCTGACCAGCCTGCCTGAGCTGGAGACACTGCTTGGTGTGACCCTAAGGGCTGGAGGCAGGGTCTGGGTATGGAAGCCCTGCTGAGCCTGACCTTCTGGTACTCAGAAGTATTCTAGTTCACAGTAGAGCATCGGGGTGCATCTGCTTGGCGTGCTAGTTCGGAGTGCCTGGGACACAAGCAGCACTCAGAAAGAGGGCCTTGATACCAGTCACTCCAAGACCTCCAACGTGGAAGAGGCTGCCTCTGTAGTAGTCAGGGCTCTGTCACTAGCAGCATGCAAGCAGAAGCCAGAGTAGCGTTGGTGAGGGATGCTAGAAGATTCTTGCCTTAGGTCGAGGTGGACAACCACGGGAGTCTTGGTTCTGTGTTTGCTCAGTTTCTCAAGTTCATGCCAAGAGGGGCTAAGAGCTCAGGCGAGGCCGCCCCACCATCCTTCAGGAAAGAAGCAACTGTGACTGGACCATTGCCTGACAAAGTGCTGGGTGCCTCAGGGGGGACAGGACCCAGGGCCTGTCCTTTGGGGGTTCACAACTTCACCAAGCAATCACCTGATAAAGTGCTTGGGGTGGGGAATGCGAGTGAAAAAAGCAAGCCTACCCATTCATTCCCCTCTGCACTCACTCGCCTCACAGTACCCGTTTGAAGCCCTCGGTTTCTTTCTTCCTGTACGTTTACTAAAGTAATGCATGTCTAGTTCAGGAATGTTCCTTAGACTGCCAGCCAACTTAAGCTTCTCTGGGTGACCTCATCTCTACAACATTGTTGTTGTTGAGTGTTGTAGAGCTGGAACCAACCCATAGATTATCCTCCAGTGAGTTTTCAGAGGCAGTAAATCACATGGGAGGAGATTACACATATCTCTCCGCAGAGCAGCTGGTGGATTCGAACCGGGTCCCCTCAGGATTGTTCTACAGGTTTTTATTGCTAGGCTATTAGAGCTCTAACTCTACAATAGGCATAATAATAATGTGCACTTGTCTGGACTCTTGTGAATCCTGGATTACATACAGATAATAAAACTCATTGAGCCGAACATTCTCATAGCCGACCCTTCATCCGACTGCCAAGGGCTGTAAGTCATACAAGTCAAAATTACCCATCTTTCTCCCCAGGAACCACTGGTGCATTCAAGCCTCCAGACAGGTGTAGACTTTGGGTTAACGCACAACTCCTCACAGATAAGGCCACCAGGAAAGTGCATGTCAACACCAGCCAGGCAAGGGTATGAGCACAGTCCACATCAGGGCTTAGTCACCACAAGGGGTGGGGACATCATTACAGTGCAGGGAGGGGATGGGGTGCAACTGAGGGAGCGAGAGGGAAGGAGGGTTTAGGACCCTGGTTTATGATATGCCATCAAAACTGGGAAACTTTCAAATACCTATGAGACCCGAAGAAGACAATTAATGGGATCATTTTGCCAGATAAAAATGCTGATTCCTATTATTACAGACGGGTAATTATTATTCTCATCTCAATGTTGTTGCGAAATGTTCCCTTCAAACTCCAAGATGGTAAGGGTGAGGGTAGGGTTGGGGGAGGGAGGGTCACGCCCCTTTAGAGCCTCCCACCAGAGCCTGGGAGCAAGCAGCTGGGGTGCCATCTGCCCCCCTTCTCTACCTCAGCAGGCACGGCCACTCTCCGCGTGTGTGTGTGTGTGTGTGTGTGTGTGTGTGTGTGTGTAAGAGAGAGACAGCAGTTGTGTTGTATATGCAGGTGGCTAGAAGCTGGAGCAGGCACAGAGGCTGACGGTATGTGACCAGAAATTACCCGTGGATGGAGAATTCTTGGCAGAGAATGCAGGTGCAATTGGATTTCAAAGACGCTGGCATTAAGATAAGTGTCTTCTCTGTTGGCACCAGGGAGATGAGAGGAAATCTGGGGCCCCGTCTTTGATAGCAGGGCCGGGGATCATCAATCTCAGC